CCTTCCCTGACCACCTGAGCACCGGTCCTGAGGTTGGATCCTGAGCAGCTGGCTGGACAGACGGATGGACAGACGGATGGAAGGAGGAAGGAGTGGGTGGGCCTGGGGTGGAGCCGAGCACAGGGGAAACGGAAGTGTGGGTGTCTGTAGCACCACTGGGAAGAGCTCCCCGACCTCACGGGCTGGGTGTCCCACTGCTCAATCCGTAGACAAGTAGCCACCGTGTTTTTGGGTTATTAACTCTCCTCAGTAAACTTCCAGTGAGTGTGATAAAACACTCCGCAGAATGTAGCAAGAGCTCATAAAAGCAGGATTTAGTGCCATTTTATAGATGTCAGGGCTGACTTCCACACTCAAGCTAGTGTATATTTAAAATTCATGCCTGATTCACTGCTTCAGGGAAGAGGCCTGAGGCCTGGGGGGAGGAGATGACATGGCTCCCTCCTGACTCCCCGGGTCTAGCACACCTGGGGCTGGGCGCTGGTGTCTGAGGCCTCCTGTGGGGACCAGGTCAAGATGGAGTGGGCCTCTTGCAAACCCCCTTCCTGATAGGCCATGAGGATGGGCTTCGGAGTCAGACAGACCTGTGCTTGAGTTTTGGGTGCTGACCAGCCAGCCCTGTTGCCCAGGATGGATGCGGGACTTTCAGGGCTACACCCGGGAGTGTTCCAGCCAGCCTGGATGAGTTCGTCATCCTAGACCTGGATCTGTTGTTTGCTTTGTCAACTAGGGAGGACCACTTCTCTCTTGGAGCCTCATCTTTCTTAGCTGTCACACAGGAGCAGTTATCCACAGCCAGTGGTGTGGGACCAGCTGCAGTGTTGTGTGTATGCAAAGCCGTCGTGCGGCTCAGGATTAACACATAGTTGGGGCTATCCTCGGGGAGCTGTGCTGGAATCATAACTTCTTCCTAAAGTGGACAGAGCCAGTTATCTGGGCTAGAAAGAGCTGGACAATTATAAGTATGGAACAATTAAACCGACTTTGTTAATCAGGTTAATTAATGCAAGAGGGCACGACCAATGATCCCCAAATCTCTGTGGCTTAAGCACAATGCAAGTTATTTCTTGCTTCAGTCACAGTACAATTTGGGTTAGGCAGCAGCTCAGGGAGCTAGGCTCTTCCATTCTGTGGCTCTGTCATTCCCCCAAGGCCTCCCCAAGGCTCTCTGCTGAATCCTTTGTATTAAGCCAGGCAAGAATGAGGATTTAGAGGGATGTTTTAGGACAGAGGTTGGCAAACTATACCCATGAGCCAAATGTAGGCTCTGGTTGGTTTTATAAATAAAGTTTTATTGGAACAGGCACACCCATTAGGTTACTTATTATCAAAGACAGACCGTAGGGCCTGCTAAGCCTTGTGTGTTTACTACCTGGCCCTTCGCAGAAAGTGTTTGCAGACCTTGGTTTTAGGGCTCAGGTCTGGGAGTGGTATCCAGTCCACTGACTACAGCTCCGTCTAATGACCCCAAACTAGCGGCCAGGGTGGAAGAAGTATAGAGGAACACATGGGCATTGGCTCTCAGTGACGGTCGCCACCATACCTACCTCTCAGGGTCATTATGAAGATGTAATAAGATAAGGCCTAGGGAGTATTTCTTAGAAGGGAACTCTTCTGTAATGACAACCATAGATCCTCAGTTCTCAGGAATACATTAAGTGGCTGTGATGCAGGATTTTGTGGGAGGACCCCCTGTCCTCTCCCTTGAGAAGAAAGAATTGGGTTGCTCATGTCTCTTGGTAACGAGGATGTGTGCTGAGTGCCTGGTTCCATTTCGTCTGGATTTGGGGTTCTTGCCATGCGACCAGCTGGGTCAGGTATGAAGAAGAATTCAGGGATGCTTATTTGGGCCCTAAACCTAACATGCCCTAACCAGATGTTTTTCTGATGGACAGTGTAGCTACTGTGTGTTCACCAGGCCCAGGCCTCAGGACATTGCTCAGTGTCAGAGTGACCTGGCTAGATGTCCATGATCTGCCTTCTGCTCTCCCCTCCCTTCCCCAGGCTTAATATCATTTAAAAAACAGCAAGCTTGGAAAATTAAAGAAATACTTTCTATTAATCACAGTATCTGAAAGATTATAATATTGAAAATGTTATGTTATTAATGATATTTTTACTTTGTAACCACAATACAATTTATTTAAAGCATCGATTGAAGGTTAATTAGCAGTTAAGCTTGGTATTTTAAAGTTAATTCATTAATGTGAGGGTGATTATTCATTAATAATAATGAGGTGATTCTTGATTTAGGTTCAAGTTTGCTAAATTTTCTTCTTTTTATATTTGATTTTCATAAGGGTTGAGATCCCTAATGTGTAGAAATGTGATACTGAAATCACATAGCAGAATTTTTTTTTTTTTAATAATGAGAGATTTCTTTTTGTAACAGAAATCTAGAACTACTCATCAAGAGAGATGCCTGAATGTTTCATCTTCAGGCCATAGCCTAGAGATAGAAGTCAATTCTTGTTGTAAAATAAAACCAAAATTAAAAAGGCACAAAACCCCAAAATCAGCAATACCAGCACCCCAATCATGACTGAGTTCAGGGATTACCTCTCTCTGTCCTCCCCAAGCTGAGTTAGTGGATTTTTTCCCTGCTGTCTCAGTGTGGGCTTACCACATTGCATCATAATTGTTTAAAAATCTGTGTCTGTCAGAGTGCCTTTGGCTGCAAGTAACACAAAATCAAATTCAAACCGGGGGAATTAATTATGTCAAGGAACAACACGACTAAAGGAGCTGGACTCCATCTCTGAGGCTGAGTGATACATCAAGGGAGGAGAAGAACTGTGAGTAGAAAGTTACTGGCTTTCCTCTCTTTAAAAGGTGGGGTCTAATCCTCCCACCCTTGGATGAACGTTGGACTTAGTGACTTGTTTCTAACAACTGGAACACGGTGGAAACGGTGGTGGGACTTCTGAGGCTGGGTCATAAAGGTCATTACAGCTGTCCTCGGTGTCTTGGATTGCTCCGTTTGGAAAGCCAGCAGCCATGCTGTGAGGACACTCAGTCAGCTCTGTGGAGGGGCCCACGGGGAGAGGAACCAAAGCTTCCCACCAACAGCCTGTACCACCCTGTCAGGCATGTGAGGGATCCTCCTTGGAAGCAGATCTTCCAGCTCCAGTCAAACCTTCGGACGATGACAGCCTCAGTTGACATGAGGCTTCAATCTCACAAGATACCCTGAGCTGGCATGTCCCAATCAGGCCACTTGTGAATCCCTGACCTGTAGAAATCTTGAGACCTAATATATGGTTATTGCTGTTTTAATTATCCCAAAAGTAAGTTTTGGGATAATTTGTTACACAGCATTAGATAGCTAATACACAGGGAAAAAGGGATTGGGCCCAACCTTGGTCATGTACCCATCATCCCTGGACACATAATAGTTGGCAGGAGAATGCCACAGGTTGACTAGCTCAGGCTATTCAGCATCTCTTCCTGGAGCCTTCAATGGGTGGAAATCTTGAGAGCTGTTTGCCATAGGGCCTCAGAGATTGGGTTCAGGCCAGCCCTCCTGCCCCTTGTTGTTGGCCTCTAGCTTTTTCTGAGTCTGACCTCCTCACCTTCTGTCTGCTTCTTTTGAAGTGGGTACGAGAGGCTGGTCTATGTTTGACAGCCCTCAGGCCTGATCAGGAGGTGAAATAAACCAATGCATGAAATTCAAGCAAACCTCCAGACTGCAGCCCCTGGGGAGATGCTCAGAAGCAGCTACTGTTGATGAAACTCTCCACAAGCAAGACTCCTTGGGGGAGATTACGGCAGTATTCAGAATCCACTGTGGTGTCTTCCCCTCTTTCATCCTTTTTCCTTTCCAGACGCAGAGCCGGTTCAATGTCTGTCTTACACCAAGTCCAGAAATGCTCCTTTCTTTCCTTGCTTCTGATGGGGATGGTGTCTGTGTCTCATAAACTCATTCTCACAGTGCCTCAGGAATCAGATGGTCAGGTAACTAGTTTAGCAGTTGGACAAATCCCAGCTCTGCTAGGTGCTGGCTGTGGAGACTTAAGACAATCCACTCAACTTTCTAGAGCCTCACGACCTTGATCTGTCTAATGGGGTAATAATGACACTTACCTAGAGTTATTATTGGTAGGCAAGGTGCCTTGTGTATTTCTTTGGAATGTTTATGGTCATTCTGCATAAGAAAGGTCTCCGCAGTCTGTCCAGTGAGTTTGGGAAGCCCTGGGCGGATCAAGTTTGTTTACTGTAGAATTCCTCAGAGCCCTGAATCAGCTAATCTTCATCTCGGCCCTCTAAGAAAGGTGTTGTAACAGCTGTGTTTCCTTAGTGTATTTGACCATAGAAGTCTATTTTGGAGGGCATAACATGGGACTATGTTCATTGCCGCAGCTCTGTATTTGAGAAGACACCAGGGGCCACCCATGTCCGGTGGTAGGCCCATATGTGGTTCTTCTTCTTCTTCTTTTGATTTTATTTATTTGTTTGTTTGTTTGTTTATTTATTTGGAGTGTGAGCAGGAGAAGGGGCAGAGAGAGAGAGGGAGAGACTCTCAAGCAGACTCCATGCTGAGTGTGGAGCCAGACATGGGGCTCGAGCTCACGACCCTGAGATCATGACCTGAGCCGAAAACAAGAGCCGGAAGCTTAACCGACTGAGCCGCCCAGGCTTCCCTTTATGTGGTACTTCTTTTACTTCAGGGGTAGCTCCCCCATTTGAGGTGGAGGGGAGCTCCCCCTTTCCTCCGCATTGTGTGAATTCTGGGGAACAGTAGACTTAGCAATGCTTCACGTGTGCCCTCGTGTATCTCCCACAGTGTACAAGGGTTCATAACAAGCAGACAGTCTCAAGACAACCCCTGGCGTTCTGGTCCCCAGGGCAGGGCGTGGAAACGCAGCTGGAAGGTAGTCTTGAGGGGCCCTGGCACACGTGAGGTTACCATGCCCTTCTCACATCCCGTGCCTTGCAGCTCCATTTGTCACTGAAATGGAAGCCTCTTGAAAGTCATCTCAGTGATGAAATGGGCGGCACTTTTCTGAATGAAAGACACCGTTCTCTTTAACATGCCTATGAGGTAGCTCACTGAGTGGCCCCTGACGTGTGGAGCCTATCTGTAGCCTCCTCAGCTACTGGACTGACGGGTGTTAGGGCTGAAGAGGGCTCTGACAAAGATAGGCCAGCGCATGGCCGTTTCCTGCTGCCAAAGAAGACAGGCTTTCTCCCGGCTACGGGCATGCACCGCAGACATGGGGTTGTCTGTCTCAACGGCATGGCTTGGATACCGCAGTGTGGAGCTAGTGTGGGATTTCCAGTGCTGCTGGGCCCTCTTGGGATGAGCAGAGCCTCTGAGCTGCAATTCTTGGCCCATTTTGGGAAATCTGATGGAGTCTATGGTTTCTCTCCCCCAGAGAAACACAACCCAGACTCAGCCGGATATAAGAGCCTGGCATTTGGGGTAAAGGCCCTTGTGTTAGGGCACTATGACTCTGTTCTCTTCTCACTTACTTTTTGGGCTTCCTGTTTGGTTTTGCCCTCCTTCCCTTTAGGACTGCAGACATGGTGCCGGTGCTGTTGGGGCAGTGATGGCGAGTTCCTGTGTCTGGGGTCAGCTGTCCTGGCGGTGACCGTGTGGATGACAGGGGCAAGAGTGTGAGCTTCCCTGGCCCAGGGCCTGGGATGGGGCGAATCAGGGCTGGAGGAGGGGGATGCGACAGGAGAGGATTTGGGGAGCAGGAGGAGGGGAGGAGAGGGCGGGGGAGGGGAGGGGTGGGCAGGTGGGAGGCGGGGGGCAGTGGGAGCAAGGGTCTCTGACTGGGGGGCATTCAGGAGAAGGTGACATGTGAGTGACGCCCGGTGGCTTAAGAGAGAAGAAGTTGGCAGCCTGAAAGGGAGGGAGACAGAAAGCAGGGCTCTTCAATATGGGCATTCATGTCCCAGTGACAGCAGCTATTTATCATGCCCTGAATGGGAGTGCAGGGCCCAGTGCGCCGCCAAAGGCCTCTGGTTAAAGTTTTACCTGCGTGTGAAAGGGGCTGGGGCTTCCCTAGGCTGCGGGGGCGGCCCCTGGGGGCCCATCTGTTCGGAGCAGAAAGACTCTGACGCCAGAGGAGGGGCCGTAGAACAGGACATTTCCGGGTGCGGGGACCCCTCCAGGCGTCCCAGGCCAGCAGGGGAACGGGTCTGCCTCACAGGCCTGCTCCAGGCACTGAATTAGGAGCCTGGCCCCAAATCAATCTGTGAGCCTGCCCCAGGTGGGGGTGGGCTGGGCAAGTCGGTACAGGGGCACGTTTTGGCAGGTGATGTCACTGGTGCCCAGCTCAGGGTTTTTTTTTTTTTTTTGGTAATATTATTTAGTACTTACCACGTGTCAGGCACCTTATATATAAATATACACACATATTTAGTTAGGGTGACGACCTCTGTTTTTATCTGGGAAGCAAGGGGTTTGTAGGGTGCAGGACTTTCAGTGCCAAATCTGGAATAGTTTTGGGCAAAACAGGACAGACGGTTATTAACCTGCAGGTTAATTTGAACATTAATTCATTTGTTCTCAAAGCAGCTCTTGGAAGGAGGTGACACATTTACCTCCATTTACGAGTGAGGAGCCAGAAGAAAGAGGGGAGCGATGAGCTGAGGCCACAAAGCCAGGGAGCAAGAGAGCTTGGGTCTGGAGTTAAGTGGTCTGGTTTCCAAGTCCGAGCTCCCAGCCCTCCACCGCGCTGCCCGGGGCCTGGAGGAAACCCCGTGTGCTGAGCGGGTTTTCTGAACTGAAAAACCAGGATGAGGAGGTCTGACGTGTTCACTGTTCAATGTGGTGGTCTTTAGGGTCATGTGTTTAAGAGGGGGCCTGTCCTGGACATTTTGGTCTGTCTGGTCCACAGAGGGGCTGGCAGTGGGGGGCAAGTCTGTCCTTAAGGTACACGGTGCTTCCAGGGTGGGGGGCCCTGGTGTTTGTCTAGGAATGTAGCTAACGACCCCAGAGGTACTTGCCAAGATTCCCAGGCTAGTGAGGACCGGAGCGGGAGGTCAGGGAGGATGCACATGTGGGAACTTGCAGCCCAGGACGCTTTGCCAGCAGCCCTGCAGCCCAGCATGAGCAGGCACCAGGGTGATGGCAGATGAGTGAGTACGGGGGAGAAGGCTGTGTTCCTGGGCACTTTGGCCCATTTTCCATCCTGACTTGTGGGACAGGTCGGTCATCCCCTGTGCCCGGCTTCTTGCAGAGAGAGGATGCTAATCCACATCCTGTGAGTCAAATCTGCTGCTAAGAGGCCATTTGGGAGAAAAATGAAATCCCCCCAAATTCTCCCCTTTGGGAGTCCTGTGGGCTGTGCTGATGGAACAAGTATTTTTCTGGATACCAAATTCATACCCAGCACTGTGGGCTGAGGTCTCAGTCCTGGAAAAACAAGAGGAGTGTGTGTGTGTGTGTGTGTGTGTGTGTGTGTGTGTGTGTGTGTGTATGTGTTGAGGGTGGAGGGGTACAAAGGTGCTGGAGGATCTCTTGTTTCTGTTAAGGGAGTAGCACAGCTAGGAGCACGGGACCATTAGCAGCCCTCTCTTGGCCCATCGCAAAAGCCCAGCCACTGAGGCCTGGCCGGCTTGGGCTTCCACCCCAAGCTGTGACTTCTATCTCCTGTGATCCAATCTCAGCTCCTGCCGGAGGCCATGCTCACTGGCCCATTCCAGCCCCAACCCAGACCCCTTGCCTCTCCGTATGCTGGTGGGACCTTGCTGGGCTTGGTAATCACACTTGGAGAAGCCACATGGTAATGTCCCAGAGCTTGCTGATGGGGCACAAGTGATGAGAACGCAGAGGTCTCGGGTGGCAGAGAGAAAGGCCTCCCTAAGGGGTCAGGTGGTGGGGTATTCTGAGAACCGTGTGATGGAGGAGGTTGGAGGGGGGGCATTAAGCAGGAATGCGGGGCCAATGCCGCTTACTCCCTCTCTCTCCTATAGAATCATCCATTCAACACACGCAAAGCATTTGTGCTGATACCTATTCTGGGCTTTGCTCTGTGTTAGGCTCAGCGTGCACCAGTGGAAATATGACAAGGTCCCTGCCGCATGGGGCTTGGGAATAGAACACGTAAGTGACATATTGTGGTTTGTGCTGTAACGTTGATAAATGGGGCGCTGGGGTAGGGAATGACACAGGTCTGCGAAGGCCTCTCCGAGGAGGAGACATGGAAGTGAAACCTGAGGATGGACAGGAGCCAGCCGGGGAGGAGTCCAGGCAGTGTCCAGGGAGAGGGAAGCCTGTGCAAAGCCCCTGAGCGTGTGAGGTTAGAGCCCTGTGAGTGGCCTACGGCCTGGGATGGAAGTGCAGATGGGGACCATGTCCTTCAGGGCCATGGGCTGTGATGAGCAGGTGGGCTGAGTGGGTGGCTTGTTTCAGTAGAACGGCCCATGAATCTCTGGCTGGATCTCAGTGCTGCCATGAAACATGTGTGGTGCAGAGTGAGGGGAGGCATGGGGGGCTGGGTCAGGGCGGCGGAGGGGCAGTGGGATGTGAAAAGGGCCGTCTTGGCGGTGGGGATGGGGGCTGTCCTTGCACCAGCTCTGTCCCCTCGGGACTGCCCCTGCCACGCTCCCGCCCTCCTTGTCCCCCTGGCTTCTTGTAATTGCCTTGGGGGAGCTGAACGGGGGGCCTGGGAGGGGTCTGCGTTTGTGCCTTGCACAGGGGACATGAAGTGCACAGAGTCCCTCTCGGTTTTTCATGTCATTAATTGGTGATCTTCGGACTCTGAAATAGCATTTCCCCTCTCCCATCCCTTATTTCATTATCCTCAGCTCAGTACACATCAGTGCCGCGTGAGGCAGCCTGCTTGGATATATTAGGAATTATTTAAATGAGATGGGGATGTATGGGTAGTTAAAAACACAGTCTTCTATTCTGCCCTAATTACGTATCAGATTACGTTACAATCATTCCCAAATATAAACTTGCTGAGAACCTCTGAAGGGGAGGTTCTGAGACCATCAGAAGAAAAGTGAAATAGGGCAGAGTGGGGATGATGGTCTTGGGCCGGGAATGGGCTCCGGGCTCTGAAACCCAGGCAGCGTGAGTGTGTGTGTCTGTGTGTGTGTGTGTGTCCGTTTTAGGTGTTACTGGCTCAGCACTGGCCGCCATCATCAACGAGCAGAAAGAAGTCCCATGCAGCTTCCGTGTCAACTGATGTACTGTGACTCTCCCATTCCTCAGCTTGTGTGGCCCTGACTCATGGCTCAGGCTTCTGCAAGGCTCCAGCCTCGGGCCTTCCCTGTGAGACTCAGCAAACACTCACAGAGCGTCCATCTGCGCGGGCACTTTGCAAATGGCTCGCGTGCAATGCTCACTCAATCCTGGGAGAAAGGGGCAGGCCTGCTCAAGGTGTCTTAGCCACAAAGTGGCAGGGTAGGATTCAAACCCAGGTCTGCTTCTGAGGCCAGAGGCCCCAGGAGATGAGGCGGGGACCCTTGGTCCCCGGGCTAGTGGGCAGGAGCTAGTGGATGCTAGGAGCCAGCCTCCTCTGGAGCTCTTAGGAGGGATCCAGATTAATCTTTATGAATAACTTAATAATTATTAATCCTCAGGAGGCTACTGATGTGGCAGGGCTCTGAGTTTGGCTGTTTTTCTTCTTCTCCCACACTTGCCTCCCACAGCCACTCGTTCTGGGCCTGGGGATGGGAGGTGGGGGTGTTCCCATCAAAAGAACCCTCTTTCTGGGGCGCCTGGGTGGCTCAGTCGTTAAGCGTCTGCCTTCGGCTCAGGTCATGATCCCAGGGTCCTGGGATCGAGCCCCGCGTTGGGCTCCCTGCTCCGCGGGAAGCCTGCTTCTCCCTCTCCCACTCCCCCTGCTGTGCTCCCTCTCTCGTTGTGTCTCTCTCTGTCAGATAAATAAATAAAACCTTAAAGAAAAAAAAAAAAGAACCCTCTTCCTTCTCTCTGGTTGTTGGGCAGGTGGGGTTGCCCAAGGCTGTCAAGGCATTTTCAGCCAAGACCACAAAGCATGCTGGGACCCTGTTGTGGGTTGAATTGACCCTCTCCCCACTACTCTTCCCGCCAATGTTGGAGCCCCGATTTCCAGGACCTGTGAATGTGACTTCATTTAGACATAGGGTCTTTGCAGATAATCAAGCTAAAACAAAGTTATTAGGGTTGGGCCTGATCCAATATGACTGTGTCCTTGTAAAGAGGGAATGCGGACACAGAGACATGCACAGAGGGAAGATAGTATAAAGGGAGAATGCCAAGGGAGGCTGAAGGCTTGGCATCTACAAGCCAAGGAACCTCCGAGATTGTCAGTAGACAACCAGAAACTGAGAGAGAGAGGCCTGGACCACATTCTCCCTCACAGCTTTCAGGAGGCGCCAAGCCTGCCTGTGCCTTGATCATGGACTCTAGAAGAGATAAGTTTCTGTTTAAGGCCCTCAGTTTGTAACAGTCCTAGGTAATGAATACAGGACTCAGTGCAGGGGTGTAGGCAGGGCGGAGGAATGGAGAGCTGTGGGTGGCGACCAGGAGCCTCACCCTGGCAAGTGTCCCAGGGGTGGGGGAAGGTCTGGCCTGAGCCAATCTGTCAGTCATCTTTGTGGGTGGGTGGAGGTGATCTTGTGGCAGCCAGAGTCCCTAAACAGAAATGACAAGCCTTGCCAGGTGGGCAGCCGGCTAAGGAGTTCTCGGAGGAGTCTGGACCAGGAATCCAGCCCATGGATGACTGGGAGAGGGAGCCAACCCCAGTCTATGGGGAGAGGGCTGGAGGATCTGGTCCTGTGCTGAGCCTTGGGGCAGAGACATCTGGGGCTCACCAGTGTCCATCTCCTGTGCTTATCAAGAATGTTCCAAGGCTCCACTGGGAATGTTCTGGTTCTGTTCCCTCTGCCCTTTGGTTCTGACTAGCTGTTGCCAGTGGAATATAGAAGTGATGGAATCACCTCTGAGTCGAGGTTGTTATGAGGGAGTGTGCATTCTGTACACATCCTCTCTTTTCCTTCTGGGGTTCAACTTCCCAACCCCAGAGGTGAGATCACCTTGGGTGACCCCCTCTTTCCCATATAAGAAACCTCTTCCCAATGAGATCTCTTCTCCAAGAACCTCCTGGATTCCCCCAAGAGAAGCTGGGGTGCCCAAGCCTGACCTTGGAGTCTCTTTGATTTGCAAGATTGCTTATTTTCATTTTAAAGGAAACATTTCTAATTAAGGTAACCAAAACCCATGTGCTATTTTTGGATGCAACTTTTTTTTTTTTTTTGGTAAGACAATTTGTGCTCATTAGATGTAAAAATTATTCCTGGGAAAATTATATAATTTACATGCAATTTACAAAATAGGCCTTTGATATTATTTGTGCTGCTACTTTGCTGTGAAGTTAGTAAACAGCATAAACACTGGACCTGGGTGAATGTGCTCCAAGGGAAAGGGCCCCAGTGGCTCCCGATGTGAGGGCGTGGCTTTCTGGAGGTTGGTGATGCCAGGTTCTCACTGGGGAGGCCCATTCTCCCCAGAGGCAGCCACGGGGGTGCTAGCTGACACCAGCCATGCCCCCCTGGTGCTGGATTGCAGTTTCGGGATGACTCATATATGGCTTTCCACGTGTCTCAGCTCCGGTGTGATTCGTGAGTACCCAGAGGAGAGCAGGGCCTCTTGGAAGATGCTTCGGGGGGAAGGGAGGGAGGTCATCAGGGGTGCACAGAGGCCTCCATCCTGGGTGGTGTTTTGATCAGGGACTTGGATGAGGGCCGTAGGTCAGTGAAGCACACTGGTGGGTGATGTGAGACTGGGAGGGATAGTCAACGGGATGGAAGACAGAATCCAACAATCTCTTGGCAGGCAGGAGCTATGTTCCCACCTCCCAGGAGGAAATCCAACAGGTGCATCTGGAAAATCACCCATTAGGTGCACCGTGGGGGAAGATGACCCCTAGCAGTGGCCTATCAGTCAGGTCCAATCGGGAGGCAGAAACCACACAGAGGGTATTTTAAGAGCAAGCGTTTCATAGAAGGGACAGGCAGTCATCAGAAAACTGAAAAGGTAAAAACAAAGCACCAAGGCATCACGGTTGTGGGGGGGGGAGTACCCCAGAAGTTAAGTTAGAAGCTAGGAGAAAGAGCCTCAGGAGTTGGGGGCTCAGACCTCCCAGGAGGAAAGGCCAGCCGGTGAGGGCTTGTGGTGGGGGGGTTAGGCACGAGGAGACCGGGTCTGTAAGTGGGGGAGAAAACCCACAAGCTGTAGTGCGTTTTTGTAACTGGGATGAAGGACTGCTGCCGGGGTGAAGCAACATGCGGGGCTATGCTACCAGACAAGAATTAAGGTCTACCGCGGAAGGGAACGCCGCCTTCACTCCCCTCAGGCTGCAGGGGGGAGACAGAACCCACTCGATCTGGGTGGATCCAGGTGGGGAGCCGTCGGGGACGGCTCTGGAAAGGCAGGTTCCAGGTCGGGATAAAGAAGACTTGATTTCCCTAAACAAAGAAAAAGAAAACTTGAATTTTCTTTCTGATTTTAGAAGCAATGCCTGTTACTGTAGAACACTTGGAACATACAGGTTACTGAAATGTCAGTTAGGGTGCAGGGAGAGACATTATCTCTGAGTTCCAGGGGAAATGAGCTGGCCCCTTGATCCCCCAAACAGAGGACACTCAAAGCCTCTGTGCGTTCCCCTCTGGTTTATGTCCTCCAAGCCTCCCCTGCTTCTTAGAACCCTGCCCGCATTGCCCTGAGGCACAGCGGGGCCTGGTGTCAGCTTCCCCTTGGGCCAGGCCCTCAAGGATTCAGCTTCTAGCCCACGTACGCATCAAGGTCTTTCTCCAAAGCCAGATTCTTTCTGAGAGTTTTGGCACCAGCTCTTAAGATAATTACATTTTTTTCCACCTTGTTGCATATAGAAAAGTTTAAAGAAGCAAATAGAAATCATCTGTAATTATACCTTCCAACGATGACCACTGTTAACCTTTTGGCGTTTTTTTCCTTCTGCAAACATATTCATTTGGAAGATAATTGGGATCATAGTGAATATAATAATTTTGTATCTTGCTTCCCCTTCTCCCATCACTTAATACATGAACATTTTCCAAAGTCCGATATGTGTTTTTAAAAATCTCTTTTTGCCACGGTGACTCCAGGACGTGGTTCTTTGGCTATTGTCACAACGTGTCATGTGATCTTTTGCTTTAATGGATTTTTTTTCTTTGATGACTAGTTTTCTTGTTGATACATTTGTACATAAATCTTTGTGCACATCTTTGAACATTTCCTCAGGATAGAACCTCAAAGCAGGACGACTGGTTCAAGTGATATATTAAAACACCTTTTATTACGGAAAAAATTTCAAATATATGTTGGAGAGTGTTGTGAAGCAGACATCCTGTGTTATCATTCAGCTTTCATGATTACTGACATCCTGACAGTTTTATCTAGCCCCTTCTCATTTTTTTTTTTGTGAATGTTTTAAAGCAGGTCCTGATGTTGTATTATTTCCCCTGTAAAAGTTAAGTTTTACTTCTTTAAATAGGTACAATAACTTCTTGCAGCAAAACCAGGATGCCATTTGCACACCTAAAAAAAATTGACAATAATTCCTAAATAGCGCCTAATATCTGGGTAGGTGGAATTTTCTCCAATGATCTCAAAAATGTCTTCCCACAGACAACCTGTTTGAATCAGGATCCAAACAAAAGTCCAGGTTTTGCGTGTGGTTGATGAGTCTTGTAAATCTCTCTTTATACTACCTCTCTCTCTTTTTGAAACTGTGCTCTTTGTGTATCAAAGAATCGGGCAGGGCGCCTGGGTGGCTCAGTTGGTTAAGCGACTGCCTTGGGCTCAGGTCATGATCCTGGAGTCCTGGAATCCAGTCCCGCTTCGGGCTCCCTGCTCGGCAGGGAGTCTGCTTCTCCCTCTGACCCTCTTCCCTCTCGTGCTCTCTATCTCTCATTCTCTCTCTCTCAAATAAATAAATAAAAATCTTAAAAAAAAAGAATCGGGCATATGACAAAGTTTTACAGTTCTCAATACATATTAGAAAAGTGGTTTCCAGGAGGGATGTAACAATTTGTGCTTCTGCTATAGCAGCGTGAGGGAGCGCACATCTTTTCTGCAGCATTGAATGTCGTTACCCTTTTTAATAAAAATCAATTTGATAGGTGAGAGCTGACACCTTATGGCTACTTTAGCTGACATTTCTCTGATTATGAACATGATCGAATGTTTTTTCCCCATATGCATAGTAGCTGTTTGTATTTCTTCTTTTGTGAATCACCTCCTTCGACCTTTGCCCCTTTTAAAAAGTGATATTGATTATCATGCTTGAGTCCATAACATAGAGAAATGCAAAGTTTTTATGCAGTCACATTCGTTATCTTTTTCTTTGTGGATCTTCTATTGCTTGCATGCTTCGAAAACCCTTTCTGTATCCCCAAATTCCATTCGCCTACATTTTTTTTCTTGTTTGATTTTTACTGAGTTTTTAAGTCCATTTGAGATCTCAT